TATGGATGAAGATGTAGGGTTTAGGGACTAGGTACCCCGGTAGTACCCTTTTCCCCTTTTCACTTTGGTGTCTTCTTTTTAAGACTAGTACTCAACCAAAAACCATCCGATCCACAAATAAACGTCCGATCGTCAAAACATGCTGGGGACACAATTTTTTGTACGAATTGGTCCGCTAGGGGTGTACTTCTTATTATCAAGAGGTTACTGGGGAATCTAGGAAATCGCAAGAAAGGGAACCCCCTTGTTGAGAAACTGCTGTGTCCCCCGATGTCTATGCGGAAGCCTTTGTTTTGAGGAGGTGAATATCAGGGGAAAAGGATTGTTGATGAATCCTTTTATGCCCATACCAAACACCGTCTCATCCCCGGTATTAAAGACGTTTCCTAATCTGCGATGCTTCTTATGCGTGATTGCGTGAGATAAGGGATGGGGGGTGTTTAATATTCGTGTGAGGGCATTACTTCCTGTCCTCGCATGGGGCTCTGATGTTAAAGGCACGTGCCTTCAGAAGTTTAAGGGTTCAGGGCTCAGTTCATGCACAAGAATATGGGGAGAGCTTCACTTCCCATTTCCCCAGCAGAGCTCTGTAACCTCCACTTCTTGGAACCACCCTCTTCAGGATTGGCTTTCGAAAGGGCTACAAGTCATGGTAGACAATACGCATGCCCCGTAGGACCATGAAGTACCTTGCAGCGCAACATGCATCTCAGCGTCTGTTCGGGAAGTGTCAGATTTGACATGGCCGCTGGCAGGCGGCGAGCTACTAAAGGGCACCAGCACTCTGAGCGCTGCTGGACTTAACGGAGATGCCACCGTCTGCGCCGCTTGGGTGTATGAAGAGCGTATACATTGGGTACTGCCCCTACCGCTTACCGCCTGCAATAGGCTTACTAGTGCTGACTATACATTCAAGTATACCTTACACATCACATAGGTGTTAATGTGAACCTGGCAAGAGCGCCCCGGAAAGCTTGTTTTGCATTTTGGGTGTATGGGGAGCGGGACTCGCCAGAATGGACCAGCAGGTGGCAGTGGCACTAACTAGCACGCATCGTAGTACTAGGAATCGACTTTTTTTTCGGGCGCGGAGCTTTACTATTGTGTCCCCTTCGGAACATGTTTGTAGGCGTTCCAGCTCCGAACTTGAAATTGTCACATGTCAGAATTGTCTTGTGGACTTTGCCTGGCCCGGCGGGAATGTCTCATTGTCACCCTCTTGATTAATGGTAGCGCGACTGGGCGGGGGCAGTACCCAAGGTGTATACAAAGATCTTGGGGAAACAGACTGAGTGACACTTAGATCTGTGAAGAGGTTCATTTTATTTGTTTTTGGCAGGAGACACAACAAGTCATACAACAATTTGAATGAAGCGTGTAAGGGCATGCGGCATTGGCAGCAAGAGATGTGCTCATCGTTAAGATACCAAGTATGGCGTATGGCTTCGAAGCTGGTACTACAGGGTTCAAGGATTTCTGCTTTTGGTGTAGGCTGTATAGGGTTGCAAGCTTACTGGAAGGAGACTTGATTCTTGAAAATAGTCGGAGAGCAGTAGCTATGGAGCAAATTGAGCAAGTCTTGACTTCAGGCTCGCAATAGGCTTACAATCCGATCCCAGCAAGCCGCTGCTGAACAGTGTCTTCAGTGGGAGTGTGCTTTTGGAGTGGTAGTATCTATGGTTTAAAGGCATTTCGGCCTACTGACATTGCCTACATGAGACAAACCTCTTTATGAAGCATAGGTTCGAGGTACTGCACTCCCTGGAGCATGTTGGGTTTCTCCGCTTTGAGCAGAGACTCACCGTCACTCGAGAAAAGACTGTGTTCGCTGCAAGCCTTACACTCAGACGAAGAAGCAACCGGACCAGCACAAGCGGACCAGCACCCGTGCCAACTTCGCAAACTGCACAAGGCTTATAGTCCCCCTTAAGTAGGTAGAATATGGGTTTGGGTATAACAAGATCCTCATATACCCCATATTCTATCTACTTAAGGAGGACTATATCCCTTTCTGGGACCCTTTTTGTATACGCATCCGAATATTCTGGCATACTTCGAGACCGCACAAGTTTCAGAAGCTCCCGCCTAAGCCTCAAGCCAAAACTGCTTCCCAGGCAGCCGTGCGCAAAGCGGCATCGCGGTAGCAAACGTGATTCCGAAGGGATTTCTGGGTGTAATAATGCCGCTCCAGTCGGCTTTAAGCGTACAGATCGTTCTTGGGATTGTTAACTTCAAGTACTGGTGCGCAATAGGGAGTCAAGGAATGTGGCGCATGGACAGGGGATGCAGGGCAGAGCATTGGGCAATCGGGGTTTGCGTTGTCATCACTTGTTACTGGAGGTCCATATTCTGTGTTTTTGTAAAGAAGGAGGATCGTTGTTTAGAGAAAGACATTATTACACCCCAACACCATCATCATCATCATCATCATCTGCATCTGTGAAGCTCTGAGACCTATGGATCCTAAGCCGGAAGCCCCTAAACCCTGATATACTCCTGTATATTCCTAGATACCCCAGTTTAGTCACCCCTTTACATGTACATATATACACTCCTATATAACCCTACATAACCATTTATTGTCCCATATATCCCTCACATAATCCCCACATCAGGTGCTGGCCCCAAGCCACCGATCCTCAGCGTTTGCGCTTATTAGAAGGGACGGCTCGGTGGTGAGCCTTGATCACATTTGGAGGGTTTTTAGGGTTTAGGGTGAAAAATCAGCTTTGGGATGTCTAGGGAGTAGCTTTGAGAGTTCACGGGGTCTGGAGTTTAGCTTTTGTTTCTTTTTTGGGGTTTAGGTTGAGGTTTTGGGGTGGGGTCCGGGGATTGGGGCCTGGCTGCCCGAAGGTTAGGACTGTTTGGGGTTTTAATTAGGGTTTGTGTTCTAGGGTTCAGGCTCATAAGATTTGAGCGCAATTTTCATTTATCTGGTCGACAAGCTTTCGAAGTGTCAGCTGCCAACTCGAAGCAGGGTTGTGCTGTGACAGTAACTTTGGGTACACATATATATATATATCTCTCTCTCTCTCTCTCTCGTTCTCTCTCTCTCTCTCTCTATATATATATATGCGTGTGTAAGTGTTTATGTTTCTATGTAGTTATATATCTGTATATTCATATTTGCACATAGTAATTCTGTAGAGACCATTGTAGAAATGTCTGTGGAAGGAGTTGGGGACTTCCAAACTGGGGCGGCGATAGCAGCGCCGTCCAAGATGACCTGTGGGACGTACAATTTATCCAGGCCACGGTGAAGGCTGGGCTATAGGGTGTGCTTTAGGGTTCAGGGCGTGGGGGGTTTCTAACTTTAAGGGAATTATACAGGACATATGGGGTTTAGGCTGGGCGTGTTGGGACATGTTCTACGTTTCCGCAGACAAACAGTACTTTTGAAGCTGGTCACGTGCTTCGTTGATAGCTGAACTCTGTATGTGCTGTGCGCGTTGTTCAATGTCGCTATGGACTATAGTCCCCCTTATGTAGATAGAATGTGGCTTTGGGTATATTGTAATAAGGTCCCCATATACCCCATATTCTATCTACTTAAGGGGGGCTATATGAACCCAGGCCTTTGCTGCCGTCCGTGGTGATGGGAATGTGGTGACATGGGGAGACAAAGCCTGGGGCGGTGACAGCTCCTTTGCTGGAGAACTCCTTTGAGGGTAGTAACGTTGACGCAGGAAACATGGCACATGCGCATTTGGGATGCCTGCCTGTAACATTCCGAGTTTGAAGAGACGTTAAGGTGGAGCAGGATTCCTTTCATTCACTGCGCTTCAGAGTTGCGATTTCCTGACCCACCCGAGCAATGTACCCTACAGCATAGAGGATCCGGCGCAAGCTCAGGCAAAGCTGTTCGAGACCAACTGACAAACGTGCAGCACATCCAAGCCTCTGATGGCGCCTTCGCGGCCATTCGTGACGATGGCAAGGTGGTGACTTGGGGTGATGCGCACTTGGGTGGAGACAGCAGCAGTGTGCAAAATGCGCTAAGTTGCGTCACCCTGGTACAATCTACGAAAGGAGCTTTCGCAGCTGTCCGTAATGATGGGACTGTTGTCACCTGGGGCGATCCCAAGCGTGGAGGCGACAGCAGCATGGTCCAAGAGTCCTTGCGAGATGTACAGGCAGTGGCTGGCTCCAAGGGTGCTTTCGCCGCCGTTTGCGGCGATGGCAGAGTGGTAACTTGGGGCTATGCGCGCGTTGGGGGCGACAGTGCTGTTGTCCAAGAGCGCCTACGTGATGTCTTGCAGATCTGTGCATCGGAGACGGCCTTTGCCGCACTCCTGGCAAGTGGAGGGGTGGTGACATGGGGTGCTGCCGCCTACGGGGGTGATTGAGCCCAACAGAAGCAAGTTTTTGAAGCCTTGTTTCCCTATCCGCAGCGTACGTACGTAGCTAATGGGTCATGCATGGAATTTCTCACATTTAAGAAAGTGAGGTGACAGCTCTGCGGTGAAAGGGCAGCTGGAGGATGTGGAGCAACTCGCCTCGTCCAAGGGGGCCTTTGCTGCCATTCTTTCTGACACTTGCTTCTTCAACTTGTTTTGTTTTGTCTTTCTGTTGTTCTTTCAGAGGCAACTTGTATTTTGCTAATTGATTTGTGAGGACACGGGGCAACCCAGGATGGGAGTGTGGTGACTTGGGGCGATGGGAACCGTGGTGGAGATAGCTGCATGGTGCAAGAACAGCTCCAGGAGCATGCGCAAAAAGCATCACCACATCAGAATAGACATGCCTGCGCCTTCCCTCATCAGTCATTCTTGCCGTGCTGCCAACAGTACCACCAACAGAACTAACAGCTTTTCCTGCTGCTGCTGCTGCTGCTGCTGCTGCGAGACTTCAACGTCAACAACACATACAGCCATAAGTACCCCGGATAATGCTGTAAGTATCACGGACAAGAAAAGTCGCCGCGTTCTGAGTTGAATACCTGTTGGTGTTACGACCACTTCTCACCACTTCGTGCTGCCATTCTCAGCAGAGTTCTTACCATGGTCACTGTCATGAGCACACTCACCTCTTGTTCCTCATTGCCGAAACTTACGCAAGGGTTCATCATCAACACCCAAGAAAACCAGACCATCATTGAAACCCGTAAAGCTTCAACCCCTTGCCCAAAGGATCCTAAGTACCTATATGGTATAAAGTAGGGCTTCTATGCTAGGAACTAGTATCCTGGTTTGGGTTGGTATCCCTTATATAGGTGCTTAGGACCTCTTGGGTTGGCAAGACAGGATGTGCAACAGATCGCAGCAACTTCCGGAGCTTTTGCGGCAGTTCTTGGGTGTGGCGGTGTGGTTACCTGGGGCTACACGTCTACAGGTTTTTAACGGTTTATACGGGTTTAGGGTCTAGGGATTTATACTTGGTTGATATAGGGGTATAGAGAAGAGCGAGTTTTTGTTCGCATGATGGTTATCAGTCTTCTTTTTGTTGATGGCTGTTGTGCTAGCATGTGGATGGTTTATTGGTTTGCTTGTTTGGGCGGTTAGGCGGTTAGTTTCCTTGTACACGTGGGGTCATCACCCCTGGTAACTGTCCTAAGGTGCCATCATAATTGCTGACATTTGTTTGCGGTAACTGTTGCTGCAGGGGGGAAAAACCTAACCTACCCACTGAAGTAGGCCCAACACGAGACCCTTTCTCCGTTGATGCCCTTCAGAGCCCAGGCTACGCAAGCCTTGGAGGGGACAGCAGCGCTGTGCAGGATTTTCCCAGTGTGGGGCTAGGGGCTCATGTTTCTTGAAATGAAGGGTTTTCCCTGGCAGTTCCCATAATACGGATGATACATGATGATACCATGTTTGGGCGCAGGGACGGCGGACCCTTGTTTTGTTCGCCCTCGCTGTCCGAACTGCAGGGTTCTTGCATCTCAGGAGGGGCTGGATGCACTCAAAGTCGTCCAATGCATCCGGTAGTGTACACACAGACACACACCTAGCCTCTTTCGGTGTTGCAACGCGTAACATCCCACAGCCTCAGTACTGCGGAAGAAGCGTTGGAAAACTTCTCCTAGAACTCTAGAGACTAGAGACGCTGTACCCACAATATCTACTATATCGCTAAATCCTGGACATGTGCAAGGAACATACTTCAGAACCTACGCCCATCTCAATGTTCAAACTTGTTCAGGAGCGCCTGCAAGACGTGCAGCAAATACAGGCCTCGGCGGCCAAAAACTTGCCCCTAGCCCTGCAACCCCGAACCCAAAGACAACACAGCCCCAATCCTCAAGGCCCGTGAGCCCCAACCGCCCAAACCCCAAGTCCCTATCATCCGAGAAGTTGTAACGACCTCACCAGACCTCTCCTTAGATGAGGTTTCCATACAGAAAATTTCCTAAACTTAATCAAGCTCAAGCTCAGAAAGTATTTGAGGATGGCCAGTGCCATTCCCCCTAAGCCTCAAGCCGCCCCCCTAAACCCAAAACCCTAAATCCCTAACATCTTCTGAGCCCCTAAGATCCGCAACCTTGACGAAAACATCCCTTGAAGGCCTCAGCGGGCGCTTTTGCGGCGGTTCTGGCAGATGGCACTGTCGTAACTTGGGGCCACGCTACGATGGGAGGTGCGTGAAGGACTTATAGGGCTCAGGTTCGCAGCTTAAGATTTAGGGTTTGTGCTTGAGAAAATTGTTAGGCTTTCCTGCCCCTAAACCCTCAAATCTAATTCTAATCTAATACTATCATACTATCCCCAGTGTAGATGGCCATTTCATGATGTAGGCCCGCCCTACACCTTAAACCTGTTTAGGGTTTAGGGTTGTAGGGCTGGGGTGTAGGAGTTGAACGTGGGGATTTCAGGTTGAAGATGCTCAAGCCCTAAACCCTATCGAAGAAAACCTTGGAGCTCAAGCTGCTATAATCACTGAACCCTGAGCCGATCCCATTCTACTCTTGGCCTGCATGTCATATATGTTTAAGCTTTCCCTAAACCCCCAAAGTATGCAAAATAATGGCCCTAAAACCATAATACTAGCCATAGAGGCCATTATTTTACACACTTTTGGGGGTCCAGGTCGGGACCCTAAACCCTAAAGGGCAAGCAGTTCTATCATTGGGCCGTGCATTCATGGTGAACTCTAGACAGATGTTATGGAGAAGGGCCCCTTCAGGGGCTTGAGGATGCCTCGGAGTTAGACGTACCATAATGGTTACACATGTATATATATATATATACATAGGGTATATGGGGTTTAGGGTATATAGGGTTTAGGGTTACCAATATTGGGTATATCTGGGAATTCATATGATTCCCCCCTATATATATATATAGATTAACTTAAAACATATGTTCCTTGACAGCAATTCAGTCGACGGGAATTGTGGACATCTCTCTTGAAGAAGGTGTAAGAGGTTGGCATGAGGGCTGTCCTTGAGAAGGTCCCTACATTCCATCGGTCCTAAACCCTGATCCTAGACCGTGCGTCGCCCGTGCAATCCCTACGAAGGAGCCTAGATCATGTGGCACTCCACACACGACCTTTTGTAATGTAGTTTGAGCAGGGAAGATATCCCATGCATATATAAGCCCTACAGTCTTGAACCCTAAAACCTTCTGACACCCGGACCGCTCTGGATCCCGGATCCCCCCCCCAAAAGCTCCAATCCACCTGGTAGTTTGCAGAAATATGCGGACCCCAATATAGACCTTAAAATATTATAGTCTTATAGTCCTTATGATAGGGACCCCCGAAAAGGTACCCCCCAATTCTGGGCAACCCGCAACCCTGTATAACCCCTGTAAACCCTCTAAAGGTACCCCTAACTTTGGGAAGCCTACACCCCAAATAGTAGTTTCCTTTTTCTTTTCCAATATTCTTAGATATCCCTATATGCAGCCTTTAAAGGTACCTTCCATCTGGTGGTCCCTGCACCCTAAACCCTATGGAGGTGACAGCAGCGCCGTGCGAGAGCAACTACGGCGCACCAGCCAGCCGCTGGCGCCTGAAGTGCTCGCCGCCTTCCGGGCCTCGCTCGTAGGGGTTTAACAAGGATCCTAGATGTCTTTCATATGGGGGGGTTTCCCAAAATTTGAGGAGTCTCCATAATAAGGATCTTAGCATTTGGGGGTCTATATTGGGATCCCCTTATTTGGAAAACTACCATATAAACCTTTCTAGGGTCCCTATTACAGCAGTGTGGTTGCCCAAGTCGTTCTATGTGACGGATAGGGTTCAGGGCGTAAACAGCAATCAGGAGAATCAAAGGACAAGAAAACGGGAGCATGTAACGGTTCACGGGGTTATGCCATGTAGAAGCCTGAAAGAGTGCCAAAGTTGTTCTTTCTGATCTTTAGGCGATCGTAGCATAGCAGCCAGCAGGGGAGATTCCCAAATGACCTTTCAGAGCTTGTGGTTTAAGATTTCGGGTGCCATAGGATTTCCAAGCAAGGCATGGCTTTTTCTTTATGATGTCCCGACCTTTGCAAGTAAAAAATACCCACTGACATCCAAAACCACTTGCTCTGTCTGGCGCTGTCCGCCGGCATGATAGGGAACACCCCTGGGGAGCAACATGTTGGGTCCTTCAAAGCAGAGGGCCGGCAGGAAGTTGCAAAAAAGTGGCCAAGCCGCGGATGTTCCTAAACACTATATACCCTACATAAATCTCGCGCCCTGACTCCCTCAACCCTAAATCCCTTACCCCTAAGCCCCTAAAGCTAAGGTCTGTATCCTGTGAATCGCGCAAGCTATATAGGGACACCAGGCTCAAGGATCTATATTGGGGACCCATACTTGGATCAGCTGTCATGTAAAAATACGTGCGTTCAGTATGCGAAGGGTACGCCCTGTTTTGCAGGATCTTTGGACGGACAGCACGCTCCTTTTGCTTATCGAATTCTACTTCGCAAGGTGGCCACTGAATATTTGGCCATACATATCGTCCACCTGTGATAGACCCCATGTTCTTTTCATTAAAGCGAAGCGCTCTGTATCCCCAAGACAGGCTACTGTGCATGACAGCAAGCCACCCGGTTGCGGAACCTTGCTTGCTGACACGAGTTGTTTTTTTTTCCGGTTCAGGAAGTTTGGCATAGGATTTACGCTCCCAATTTCTAAGCTTCCGGCAATTTGTAGTTGAAGGTTTCAGGGGCCACTGATGACAGTATAGGGTGGGTTTTGATGGGACAAAGGGTTTAACTCAATGGAAATCCAAATGAACCTAACGAAGCTTTTCCAGTTTAGCCCCAGCTTCGAGAGCTAACAACTTTATCCGGCGGTTTTTTTCTTTCCGACTCATGATTTTTGTCGATCAGATGGTCCAGCTTTGGAATGATTGCGTCACCCCATCCAGCAGTTTCCGCAAGTGATTAAGCGGACCCCCAGCAGGGTCCTCTTGTATTCCTTGTATACCACTATTACAGGGTGGGGAGTGCACCTAAAGTATTGCTCTCAACCATGGACTTGTGGATGCGCCAAACGCCACTGCTTCTCTGCCCGACCGTCGCGGCTGTTCTTCTCAAGCGCACAAAGCAGAGCCTGCCCATGATAACAACATCCAGAGCCAGGTTTCCGGAAGTGTGTACGAGCGCGTTTCAAGTCGCAGGCTCCAGCACGCCCCAGGTCGGGTGTTCTGTTAAAGGAGTGCAACATAGTGCAACCATGTACCTCAGCGATGAGAAGCTTGCGGCCCTGCTGCCGTTCGTAGCGCAAATTCCGGAGGCGAACCCATCAACCCGGCTCAGCAGCCACATAGTTACAGTCTCCTGGGCAAGCCAAAACGACACCACTCCACAGGGTTGCTTGTATCTTCAGAAGTTCCGGCATGGCCTTGTATTCCGAGCTTGGAATCTGCACAATTTGACCAGAGCATGGTGACACTGAGTGCCTTGTCACTTTGTCGTGGAAACAGGAGATTGCCTCCGCAAGAAGTAAGATCGCAAGGTCGCAAGGTCGATGCCCATGTCAAAGCCTTAAGGTTGCCATCACTGCGCATCACCCAATCACGGATTACACGTTCCCGGTCAGCTAAACGGGCTGCTAGTCCATAAGAGGCGCCGATGAGTCGAACAGCTTATAATCAAGCACCGCCTTTATGCGCATGTCCCAGACCAACAGAACATTAGTGCCCAACTTAACAGAAATGAGGGTTTCCCAAAATTAGGGGTAGCATTTTGGGGGTCCCTATAATAAGGACTATACTATTTTGGGCTCTATATTGGGGCCCCCTTATTTTGGGAAACTACCAAATCCTAGCGAGTGCCAACTCCTACACTGGCCAGGTGGTTGCTGCCTATGAGGTCCGCACATGCGCTGTTCAGGATTTCTGCTGGGGTTTTAACCACGAACCCGAAGGGATAGACCGGCTTTGTGCCCTGATGTTGTGGATCTGTTTAATTCCGATTCGGGATCTTTGTGCCCATGGACCAACGAGGCCCTGGTTGTTTGCATAACCGGTGGGCTAAATGCCGGACTCGTTCCGATTCAGAAAGTTGAAAACACCAAGATTTAGTAGTGAAGCCATGCAGAAGCTGGCATTTCTTCCTTTTGCGCCGACTTAGCTTAAAAGGGTCGTGCTTCAGGTCAGGAAGGTTGTTGTTTTGCGGCTTCAACGTGACGCCCCAAACCTTGAAGCCCCTGAGTTCAGTAGCAGTCTGCTCGTGAAGCTTGAGTGGCCGATCCCAGCAATTCCAATCCCTCATCCATGCCTTTAACAATGAAGATTTTTGCACGCAATAGCCCAAATCTATACAAAACCTTGGTCCCGAAGACCCTGAACCTTACATATAATCTTCTTTGCGCGCCAAGCGCTAGATGCGAAAGCTACAAAGCGTGAGGCCTTTGCTAAGATCTGGGCTGCCTGCGGTCTTCCTGAGAAGCCACTGTCGGCGAAGTTAATTGGAGCTGTGCCTCGGTCTTTAGGTGAGGGTGGAGATGTTTTTGGGATTTGGGGGGCGAGCTTTTGAACATGGGTTTCAGGGCTGACTAGGGGGGTTGCGTGTAAGTTATGACGATCTTGGGCTGAGACTTCACAAAATTTGAGCAGAAGCATGGGCGTTGATAGGCTGTGTAAACGCATTGATCTTGAAGTTGGGCATGACGAGGATGGTTGCCATGGTCGAGGGATACTAAAATAAACTAAAGCTCTAGCCTATGCCAGTAACTACAGCCCGAAAGGACCTCATAGGGCTTCATATCCTCTGGTCTTCTCAGGCTTCGTCATGGACTGAGGATGGACTCCACCCAAATTACATGGAAGTTCGTGGCGACGTATAATTGGGTTTTGCGTCTAGGATGGCTGCAAGCAGCATCACTATTTGTAGAGGGTGGGTGGGTTTTCTAAGCTGCCAGTAGCTGTGGAAGTGCACCCTGGCGGTCTCAGCTATGGCTACTACGGCAGCTGTCTACGTGCCCCACCCAGAACTAGGCCCCCTACCCATATTCCCTCACGTGGCCTTGCGAGCATTCTGAAATATTCTGAATCTATCTGCTAATCATTTCTCACGCGAAGGCCCCATCCCCTTGTACAGCCCAAATTTATCGAGGGCCGCACTACCACTCCATAATCCGAGTTCGGCACAGTCCCTTGGTTTGGGCGATCCACCCACGTACGAGTAGTGGCATGATGGGAATACATGGTGATGCTGAAGCACTTCGTATTAAATCTCTCGTGGTCACGATGAAGGGTCGGGGGATCAGCAAGCTCAAGGGAACCATTTGAGGTGTTCGTTGACGGCCCTCCTGAGCCCATTCTCTCTGTGGCCTGGGCTGCATGCAAGGAAGGCAGGTGTGGGATTTCGAGAACTCTGGGGGGGGGGGGTCAGTCAGTCAGTCATAGAAGAAGGATTATAGAATCTTTGGGAAGGCACACCTAGTTTTGGAGACCCCCTTGCGAAGTGATGGAGATCCCAAGTAATCCTCAAATTGGAGATTGCCAGGACGGGTGAAAAGATGGGGTGTGGACAATGCAGGGCAGGCAGGGCACTATTCGGGACATCAGCCGAATGATTGAAGTCTCGCTTTGCTTGTAACATGTTCCACTTCCTACTTGTTTAGGAATCATGCTTAATCAGTGTATTATGGTAGAACCCAAGGGGAACTCTTAAGCATCATCCTCATTACAGGTCTAAACTGGGTTGCTGTTAAGGAACTTAAATTAAGTTACCATAATGGGTATATATATAAAATAAATAATAGGGTTT